GGTACTCTACAGAGGGTGACAAGGTGAGACTCTGTCTCTAAAAAAAAGAAAGCTAGGTTAGAGGATAGGTAAGGGTGTGATCAGGAAAATAATGCCACCAGGTATATGTTTTAGGAAGGTTGTAGTCAGAAGCCACACATCAGATGGAGTGCAGGACGCCAGAGGTTGGAGCAGCAGTGGGAAGCTATTCACAGGAAAAGGTGGGGAAAGAGCATCAGGGCCTGGAGAGTGGAAGGAGGGTCAGGATGTGGGAACCTGTTGGTGGCAGAGTCCAGAGCAGAGGAGGGGTGGGGGAAAAGGGGAGGGAGAGTGGACAGGGCTGAGAGTGCCTTGAGCTGAGGCTGGGGAGGGGAGGGTGAGTGTGGATTTGGGCAAGGCCAGTGCAGTTGGGAATAGCCTAGGCTAACAAAGCCTGTGTGACAGCAGAGGGCTCAAGGTGACTTGTGAGGGGCTCCTGGAGTCCCAGGTTCACAGTTCTCAGTGGCTATAGGATGCACACTCAGGAGAGGGCTATCCCTGATACATTTGTTTTTGTTTTGGAATTAGGAGTAGAGAATGAGATGGATGGCAGTAGGAGGCCAGGTTTGGGACTGTAGCCTTTGTTATCTTTGCGGGCTCACAGTCTAGGGCTTACCTGTGGACTTCGAGCAGAGTAGAGTGTCCTCAAGCACAGCCCAGGGGGATCCGTGGCCTGTGGCTCCTGGACTTGAGATGAAGAATTTCATCAGCCATTGATGAGGAAGCAGCTTCCATGTGTGCTAGATACTCTGCGGTTATCTGGTTGTCCAAGAAGTAAAAAACTCTTCGAAGTTTTATAGCTTGGAAGAAAGCAATTTTTCGACAGGTGCTTAAGTAAATATGCTTTTTGTGGCACCTAAAGGCAGTTTTTCTTAATTAATGAACTTTATTTTCTAGAGTGGTTTTAGGTTCACAGCAAAATTGAGTGGAAAGACAGAGCCCCCATCACTCCCTGTCCCTGCACATGCACAGCCTATGCTCCTATCACGATCCGGCACTGGAGTGCAACTTTATTCAAGTCAGTGAAACTGCACTGATGCATCTGTACCGAGAGCCCACAGCCAGCATGGTCGGTCTGGGTGTGTATTTGGTGGGTGTGCACCGGGGTGCTGTGGCATCGGCTCACCACAGTGTCCTATGGAAGAGTTTCTTTGCTCTTTTTTTTTTTTTTTTTGAGACAGAGCCTCAAGCTATCCCCCTGGGCCTCAAGCTATCCCCCTGGGTAGAGTGCTATAGCATCAAAGCTCACAGCAACCTCCAACTCCTGGGCTCAAGCAAGTCTCCTGCCTCAGCCTCCGCAGTAGCTGGGACCACAAGCACATGCCACAACGCCCGGCTATTTTTTTTTGCAGCCATCATTGTTGTTTGGCGGGCCCAGACTGGATTCGAACCCGCCACCTTAGGTATATGTGGCTGGCGCCTTAGCCACTTGAGCCACAGGCACTGAGGCAAGTTTCTTTGCTCTTAAAATCCTCTTTGCTGGGTGACACCTGTAGCACAAGCAGCTAAGGCACCGGCCACATACACCAGAGCTGGTGGGTTCAAATCCAGCCTGAGCCTGCCAAACAATGACAACTACAACCAAAAAATATCCAGGCATTGTGGCAGGCACCTGTAGTCCCAGCTACTTGGGAGACTGAGGCAAGAGAATTGCTTAAGCCCAGGAGTTGGAGGTTGCTGTGAGCTGTGAT